TCGAAGAACTATAGTTACAGCACAAGGTGAGTAACTTCATCTTCTTTGAGTGATGTTCCCTGTGGCTGACTTTGTAGCAGTGGTCAAGAACCCTTGGACGACAGGTATCAGAGTCATGATATAATGGCTGTGGAAAGCACCACTGAGGCCACTGCTGAATCTGTGGCCCAATAATGTAGCATAGCATAATGTTTCATAAAGATGGCGTTAGAAGACCACGTGGCTGAGCAGCAGATATCCGAAAGAGGAACTCCCTTTAGGAATGCTATGGACATGGATATGTCTCTAGTGGAATGAATCCTCAGTATTGTTGGAAGTGGTTTGTTGAGGATAGTGTAACATCTCTCACTGCAGGCCTCTATGAGGTTTGAGATGCATTGAGAGGATAGTGAATGTCCTTTAGAGTGATCTACGAGAGATACCAGAAGGCGTTGGGACTTCCTAAAGTTCTGAGTCCTCCAAATGTAAAAGGCTAGTGCTCTGCTCATGTTGAGGGTATGCAGTAATGTCTCCTAAATGGAGGTATGAGGCTTAGGGAAAAATACTGGAAGAATGATGGGTTCATTATTATGAAACTGAGAACAGACCTTAGGAATGAAGGCTGGGTGTGGCCGTAAAATTACACTGTACTTATTAAAAACAGTGTACGGTGGTACTGCCATCAGGGCCATCAGTTCATTGACCCTGAGGGCTGAAGTAATTGGCAATAGAAAAATAACCTTCATTGTAATCATTGGCAGAGGTAGTGTAATGGCTCGAAAGGCGGTTTAGTGAGGGTGTCCAGAACTAGGTCCAAATCCCGTGAAGGGTTGAGGTTAGTGAACGCTTTGAGGAAGCACTTGGTGGTAGGGTGCAAGAATATAGACATGCCATCCACAGACTGGCGGAAGGCAGTAATAGCCACCGGTGTAAGGATAACATGTATTTGAGGATTTCATGGAGAGGTACCTTATACAGATCTACCCATTTATTAGTGCACCAGGCAACGAATCTGAGCCACTTACGCATGTAGGTTGTTCTTGTTGTGTTCCTTCTGCTGTTGTTTAACCGGAGAGGAGCAGAGGTTCTCAGTATTGGAGAACCACTGAGGAGCCATGCTGTGAAGTGGAGAATGTGAGTGGAGAAGGGTCCTGGAGTTCTGGGTCAGTAGATTGGAGAGGTTTGGGAGGGAGGGGTTAAGGGAAGAAGAGACATTTGATAAAGAAAGGGAAACCATGGCTGGCGAGCCCATGATGGCGCTACAAGGATTACTTTGGCTCTGTTGTTAGCTGGAAATCTCTTGGCCTAAAGGACACCAACTATCAGGCCCAGCCCCGCACCCACATTTATCATTGGGGGGTGTCACAGTTCCTCAAATTATTAAAATAAACAGGTGAGGAAAACTAACAGGACTTTATTATAACAGTTGGAAAAGAAAAGGATAAACAGGTAAGTAACTTTTTTAACAGGATTAAAAAGGACCTCACTATACAAAAATAAAACAAAAACAAATAAAAGCTAGACTGTGACCTAAGATAGCCAAGGTAAGAACTATAGTGATCAGAAGAGTGATCACCGGCACGGTACCATCTCTCGCAGCTTGTCTTGCCCCAGCGACCTGATTCTGGTCTCATCCCAGGAGAGGTAGGAACAGGAACTGGATAGCAGCAATGACAGGCTTTCCCCCAGTTATTCCCTTCCCTGTGTCGTCGTGGTGGCAAATGTGAATGGACACAAAGAGGAATGCAGGTATGCTACCCAACCCAGAAATCGCACCGATGTTCCCAGCTGAGCGACTGCACACACTGCCACTCAGATGGGCAGCACCGAGCTGAACTAGAGGCAGCTCTTATATAGTGAGCTGTTGTTGGGCAGACTGTGGTTACATGTCTGCTGTCACTGGGCAGACTATAGCCATGTGACCCCACGGTTTTTCCGCTACAGCGTGGGAAAGGCAGGAAAAAGGAGGAGAAGGGTGACCAAGATGGAGTCTGGTTGTTGTTTCAGAACTTCAGAATGGAGGCTGTTGGAATTTTGCCTTACACTGTCCCTTTTGATTTTCTGTAGGACTCTGGGAACGAGCATGGCTGTTCAACTGAGAGGAAAGGCATCGCCCAGGGAATTTCTGCCAATCCCATCTCTGGAACAGTACTGTCGACATTTTGAGGGTTTTTTTGGGACGCAAACAGATCTTTTTGTGGGACACCCAAGAGACTGAAGATGTGCCAGAGAACATCTTCCTGTAGCTTCCATTTGTGATCTGGTACGAAATGTCTGCTTTAAGGAACCGCTGTGGTATTGCTGGTTCCTAGTAAGTATGAAGCTATGAGTGTAATGTTGTTGCAGATACACCAGTTCCAAAGGCGAACAGCTTCTGTGCAAAGGGAACGGGATTGGGCCCCCCGGAGGTTGATATAATACATCGTGGCGATATTGTAGGTGAGGTTTCTGGTCATGGTATTGGAGATATGTGTTCTGAAATGTTTGGAGGCATTGAGGATGGCCCCGAGTTCCAGGATGTTGATATGAAGTGCTGCCTTCCGTGGTGTCCATCGTCCTTGAATGGACAGATCGTTCATATGCACGCCCCAGCCTATCAGAGAGGCATCAGTGGTGATCTGAACCGATGGCTGAGGTTGGTGAAATGGGATTCCTGTGAGGAGGTTGTGAAGACTGGTCCACCACTGTCGGGAAAATATCACAGAAGATGTTGGAGTGACTTGTTTGCCAATGTGGTGCCTTGTGGGAACATACACCGACGCCAGCCATTGTTGCAGGCACCAAAAACGTAGCCTTGCATGATGGACCATATATGTTGTGGCTGCCATATGGTCCATGAGCTATAGGCATATGAGAACAGGGACTGTAGGGCTTAAGGTAAGTATTGCAATCAGATCTTATCAGGCCTGGTACCTCTATATAGGTAAGTAGGTTCTCACTGTTGTGAAGTCCAAACATGCTCCTATAAATTCTAGGTTTTGAGATGACTCTAGTGTTGATTTCTGGTCATTTATGATCAAACCTAGAGACTCGAACATCTTTCTCGCCGTCACCACCATGTGGGAGGCTTTGGCTTTGGTTGGATTTTAAAAGGCAATCATCAAATTAGGGAAAAATTACTATGCCCTGTCAGCAGAAATGTACAGCTAGGACTGCGAGTGTTTTGGAGAAGACTCTGGGTGCTGAGGAGAGTCTAAAGGGTAGAAGTCAATATTGGAAGTGGTCTTTCCTGACCACAAAGCAAAGAAACCTTCTTTGGGCAGGGTGGATCATCACGTGAAAATATTAGTCCTGAAGGCCAAGGGCTGGAAACCAGTCCCCGTGATCTAGCGCTGGAATTATGGTTAAGAGAGTCACCATTTTGAAATGCTGCTTTCGCAGGTAACGGTTGAGTTTTAGAAGATCGAGTACGGTTCTCCAACCTCATGTTTTTTTCTGGGTGAGGAAGTAATTGGAATAGAAGCCTCTGCCTCTGAATTGCGTGGCACCCTCTCCACTGCTCCGATGGTAAGGAGGCAGTGGACTTCTTGTTGTAACTGGTGCTCATGAGAAGGATCCCTGAAGAGGGACAGGGAAGTTGGGAAGGTTGGGGGTATTTATGTGAAAGGGATCGTGTAACTTGTCAAAATTATTTCTAGAACCCAAAGGTTGGTGGTAATGCTGGTCCTATGTTGGTAAAAAGGTTTGAGCCAGTGATAGAAAATGGCAACTACAGGATTGGGTTGGCATGTAGTGCAGGGGGTTTGCGAGCCCTTGACGAGGTTGTCAAACGTTCTGTTTGTTAGCAGGCTGAGTGGAGGGGCAGTTGTTTTGGCGCGCCTCTTTTGGGGGTCTTTGTCTCATTCGCTGGTGTTGGTCGAATGGACGTTGGAGGTATCTTAGCTGCGAGAAGTCATAATGTCTTTGGAAGGGTGTGTATATCTTGCAGCAGAATGGGGGCGTATACATCCCCAGGGTTCAGAGAGTGGTCCTCAAGTCTTTGTTCAAGTGGAGGACCTCATCTGTTTTTTCAGCAAACAACTTTTGTTTGTCAAGTGGGAGGTCCTCCACCTTAGTCTAAAACTCCTGTGGAACTCCAATATTCTGAAGCCATGAGGACCTCCTCATAACTATAGCGGTGGCTGTGGAGCGAGCTGCCGTGTCTGCCACATCCAATGCAATTTGCAGCCCAGTTCTGGCAGAGGTGTATCCTTCGTGGACAACGGATTTTAAAATGGGCCTTTTTGCATCAGGAAAATGTTCCATCAATGCTGCGAGTTTAGTATAGTTGTCAAAGTCATGATTCGACAGCAGCGCCGCATAGCTGGCAACATGTAACAAAAGTGTCGAAGAAGAATATATCTTTCTGCCAAAAAGATCAATACGGTTACTATCTTTCTCCACTGCAACATTCTTATACTGTGGAGTTTTTGCCTTCTGCTGCGCTGCATCTATGACCAGAGATTTTGGTTGCAGGTGTGAGAACAAAAACTCTGAACCTTTGATTGGAACAAAATATTTTTTGTTGGCCCTCTTGTTTGTAGGGGGTGCAGAAGCTAGGTCTGCCATATTTCCTCAGTGGATTCCATAATTGCTTCATCAATTGGGAACGCTATTTTTGCATGCTGGGATGGTTGTAAATTCTTGAGGAGATGATGTTGTTTCACCTGGACTTCTGTTAACTGGACCTCCTGGCTAGCAGCCACTCTTTTAAACAGTTCTTGAAACTTCTTGAGGTCGTCCGGGGGAGACGTATCTCCAGGGATGACGGCCTCATCTGGGGAAGAGGAGGATTGGTCCATGGGTGATGTATCCAGCTGTTGCTCCTACGGTTTGGAAAGTTGACCTTCCTCCAGCTCTAATTGGTGTGGTGGGGAGGCAGGCACATGAGGTTGGCTGAGTTGTGCAAGGATGGTCAGAGGGGATGATTCACTGTGTGTGTGCCGGGATCAGTAGCAACAGAGGGTAATCCTGGCATGTGGTCATGTGACCAGTATGATCAGTCATAATAGTATCTATGATGGTCATGATACTGATGTCTTGGTGAACCCTGCCTAGAGGAATATGCACTTCTGTGTTCCTCCCAGCGCATATCACGACCTGATGGAGTTGGAGAGTGAAAAGTCATCGAGTCCCTCGATGAAGGGAGAGGTGAGCGGGACATATGCCACGCATGAACGGTGCAATGAAATGCATGTCTGAGTGTTGGTAGTAGAGGCGGTGGTGTAATATTAATGATGTTGGTGTTGGTGGTGAGGGAGACAGTGCCAGTGAGAAAGTTGGTGAAGGGCTAGGACTGAGTGCTTTAATTGACTTTGTCCGTGCCTTTTTTGGTTCTGGAGGTGTATCCAGTGTGTCCAGTGCCGGGGAAAGGTGAAATGCTCGTATCGGCGCAGCTGGTGGTGTTGATGCTGTCAGTTGGGGCACGACATCAGTGCCGGAGGCTTTGCCGGTGTGGCTGCTAGTTTTGCTGATACCTTCAGTGCCGAGTGCCTGGGATCCTTTCCTGCTGTTGGCACGGACGGTGCTCAGTGCCACCTCTTTGGGTCCAAGAGTGCCCTGGAATGTGGCAAAGTAGTGCCAGAAGTCCCCAGCTTATCCGCAGTGCTGATCCTGCTCACTGGTACTGGTGGCAAGGAGCGTGCCTGCGAAGAGCACTTCTTCGACACGGACCCCGTAGTCAGGGAAGAAGCTCTGCACTTTTGAGCCTTAGGTGGAACATTGTCCACAGGCTGCAGCGCTTTGTTAAAGAGGAGCATGTGTAACCACATCTCCCTATCTCCACAAGCTGTGAACTTAGAACAATGCAGGCATATCTGAGGCACATGGGCTTCTCTGAGGCATCTAATACATGCCGAATGGCCGTCCAACACCGGCATGGCCTCGCAACATGTGTTCCATTTTTTAAAACCCAGCGAACCCGGCATTGTATGAGAGGACCTATCGAAGTTCACCTCAATGGCTGTGTCTACATTGGCACCCCTTTCTGGAAAAGGGATGCTAATGAGACCAGTCGGAATTGCAAATTCCGTGGGGGATTTAAATATCCCCCGCGGCATTTGCGTTTACATGGCTGCCGCTTTTTTCCGGCTCGGGGTTTTGCCAGAGAAAAGTGCCAGTCTAGATGCAATTTTCCGGAAAATAAGCCCTTTTCCAAAAGATCCTTTATTCCTACTTTCAAGCTACTTTTCCGGAATAAGCTGCGAGCTGTCTACACTGGCCACTTGCTTTTCCGGAAAAGCAATAATGATCTAATGTAAAATCGTCATTGTTTTTCCGGAAAAACTATGCTGCTCCCGTTGGTGCAAGACAGCACAGTAGTCTTTTCCGCAAAAAAGCCCCGATCGCGAAAATGACAATCGGGGCTTTTTTTGCGGAAAAGCGCGTCTACATTGGCATGGACACTTTTCCGGAAAAAGTGCTTTTCTGGAAAAGCATCCTGCCAATGTAGACGCGCTTTTCCGGAAATACTTATAATGGAAAAACTGTTCCGTTTTAAGCATTTCCGGAAAAGGGTGCCAGTGTAGATGTAGCCCTACAGTGGCGCACCCACAGGAATATCACTTGAAAAGGAACAATGGCTTTCTACCAGTATTGAGGCTTACCTAGAGCAGAAGAATTAATTTCTAAGTAAAATTAAGTATGAGCACACATAATAGAGCTTTATATTCTGGAAGCTGGTCTTCCTAGGTCAATTTGTAAATGATGAGCTGACTTTTCTTCTGAAGACACTCAAATCATCTCATCCAGGCCGCATGGACCATGCATATGAGAGTAAATGCAGTAAAAAGAACTGGTGAGATAAAAGGTGATGATTAGGCCAAGCGAACAGTATTGGGAAACAGAAGTGATATCTAGTGCACAAAAGCTGTTGCTGAGAAGGAATAGATTCAAATAAAAATTGACTTTGTCTTCAAGGCATATTCTCCTTGATAGACTAATGGTTAGTACTTTAAGTATGCTATTACAGGCAAGAATCAAAGCCTCCCACAAAACTCATGGTCAGATCATCCCCTTGACTTCCATGAGTCAAGAGGCCTGCAGACTGGTTGGATAATGTCAGTAAACTGTGGATCAAGAACATGGTCTTCTCTTCTCTGGGGCTTCATGGATGCTCCTTCACTAGGATTCTGTGAGGCCAATATGTCTTGTGATTTTGAGTATGGGGCAGGAAAGAAATGAGTGGATTGGCTTCTTTCTGCTAATAACATGAATATATCTAGGTCACTTAGGGCACATCTACACAGCAGGGCAAAATTGTAATTAAGATATGCAATTTCAGCTATGTCAATTGCTGAAGTTGAAATAGCTTAATTCAGCTTTTAGCACTGTCTACACAGAAGGAAGTCAATGGGAGAACACTCTTCCTTCAACTTCCCTTACTCCTTGTGAAATAAGGGTTACAGGAGTCAGAGTAAGAAGTCCTTCATCTCGACATTATTTCAAAATAATGGCTTTCTGTGTAGATGTGCATTTTGTTATTCTGAAATAATGCTGCTGCGTAGGCATACCCTTACATACTCTCCTCTGTCCCTTTCTGGGTAGTCTCTGAGGACCTCACAATCATCACTGTACTTGTAACATTCTTCATAAAGCAAGTGCCATCATCCCCATAGGACTTGCCCAAAGTCACACAGGAAGTCATTCACTAAGTAGGACACTGAACAAGAGTCTCCCACATCTTGAGTTAGGGCCCTGAACATTCCCATCTCCTGAGAGGTCTAAGATAGCTTTATGGGTGATATGGCCATTCCGTAAAGCTTCCCAGGCTTGCACTGATGGGGTGGTCAACGAACATAAAAATTCTTTATGGGACTGAGGAGCGAGAAGATTTTTTTGTGTGGTGCATTTTGATGGTGAATGGCTGGAAAGAAGGAGTGTTAGTTGATACAGGTGGATGGATTTCCTGCACAGATGTTACCCCAGAAGAAATGATGAATGGGGATTTTGGATTCTGTGGATTTCTATTCAGAAATATAAACATACATTAGTGGTGCTTGACAGGCAAATTGACTACATGTTGAACCTCTCCTCCTACCATTTACCTGACCATCTTTTTTTTTTTTTTTTTTTTTTTTTTTTTTTTTTTTTTAAGAGAGAGAGAAAGAGAAGCTCATTAACAGAGAGGGGAGATTTTTGAAGGTGCTGGGGGAAATTAGGCATTCAATTCCTATTGAAAGTCATTGTGAACTGGATGTCTTTGAAAGTCCTTTGCTAAGTCAACAGACATTATCCGCAGTTTTAATGGAAGTTGGCTCAGGCTATAACTATAGGACTCAGTCAGAAATAACTTGCAGTGTGATCTCACAAAGGGGAGAGAAGCAAGGTGAATAAAGCCATGGGAAAAAAACCCACTCTTCTCCAAACAACTAAGAGTCCTATGTCACTTTAATGACTAACAGATTTATTTGGGTATAAGCTTTTGTGGGCATAGTCTTACTTCAATAAAAGTTTATACTTAAATAAATGTTAGCCTTTAAAGTGCCACAGGATTCCTTGTTTTTTGCAGATACAGATTAACATGGCCCAACTGCTGATCCTGAACTCCCATGGAAAGGTATCTGAGGAGTTAGAGAGAATACTACAACAAGGTAGTCACCCTCTTTCCATCCACAATCTGCCAGATTTTCTTGCTCTCAACCTCCATGGGTGTAGGAAATGATTTCGCCTTCACTTTTTAATTACCAGCAATTTCACCAAGTCCTCAGCTGGTGTAGCTTAGAGCTCTACATGAACCGACACTATGTGATATTCTAGCCTTATTACTTTTTGCCACTAACTAACAGGGACTCAATTAAATTGTTTCATAGGAAGGAAAACTATGAAAGTGTCAGCTTGTACAGGGGATAGGCCAGATAATAGACTGGCTTGCAGTTTCTAACCATTATCTAGCCATGTTCCAAGAAGACATAACTCCATGTGGATTAACACCACAGCATGACTTGGGAAAGGACCTTAGTTCTCAGGTAACCTTACTCCACATTATGCCACAACCACTGCTCATCTAGCTAAACAATTCTTGCTCCCTGCAGAGAGACTGTAGCTTTATATTTGTCATGAATATCTAATGGCAAAAAAATTCTGTACAAGAGTGAGTGACAGTAATTTGAAGTAATTTCAGCAGAGCAGACATACAAAAAAGGTAGACTTTTTAGTAATTTCATTGCTTCATATAATATAAATAATCTCCTGTGAAACAATTTTAGCTGCAGCCCAGTGATTTTTTAAAATGTTACCTTAAATCAGTTGTAAAGTGAGATAATCAGTTTGTAAGGGCTTATTACAAAATTATACATTTATTATCCCTTTAGAATCAGACTTTTTCAACTGTTGCTTTATTCAAGAAGATCCATAAAAGTCTTTTTACTGAAAATCTTTGGTTATTAAGTATGGGCTAAATTCTGCACCTCACTGGGATGAGGACTATTAGGAAGGCAAAAAGAATTTGGCCCACATTCTAAAACAAAAAGCAGGAA